TTGTTTGTTTGGTTTGGTTTTTTCGAGACAGGGTTTCTCTGTATTCTTTTGGAGCCTGTCCTGGAACTAGCTCTGTAGACCAGGCTGGCTTTGAACTTACAGAGCACTCTTCCTCTGAATGCCTCCTGGAAGGCATCACCCCATATGTGAAGTGTGTGTGTGTGTGGGGGGGGGAGATGGGATGGGAGGGTGGGGGGTATGGAAGGGTGGAAGAGAGGGAAAGGGGAAAAGGGGGAAGGGGGAAGAGAGAGGGAGGGAGAGGGAACTGAGATCGATATGTAAAAAAAAAATGTTCTAGTAAATAAAAAATAATAAAGGTTTAAAAAAGTGTGCACCACCAATGCCCAGCGGCATCTACCTTTCTGCAACTCCAGTCCCAGGGGATCTGATGTTCTCTTCTTGTCAACTTGGGCAGGTGGTGCACAGACATACATGCTGGCAAAACACCCATATGCACAAATGAATATTTTAAAAGACTATAGAGTTTTAAAAAAATCTTTATGGCTGGAGAGATGGCCTGATGGTTGAAAGCACTGACTATTCTTCCTGAAGACCCATGTTTAATTCCCAGCATCCACATGGTGGCTCACAACTGTCTGTAACTCATGCATGTAATACACAGGTATATGCACACAAAACACCAACACACATAAACAAAAATTTAAAATATCTTTAGTAGTTTATTTCCTGGAAGAGCCATCTCATCAGCATAACTAAACTACATTTGAACAGCCAAAAGCAGCTGCCTACTATTCTCACTAAGTGACAAAAAAGCAGGTAACCTCCATCAATTTCTGGAACTCGTATTTTATTAGTTGTTTGAGATTTTCATACAATGTATTTTAATCAAACTCACTTTATTTCCACCAACTCTTACCAGATTCCCCATCCTTCCCAACTTCATGCTCTTAAAAAAATCAAAACGAATTTGTGCTGCTCAAATATTCTTCGATGTGTGGCTTTTCACAGATGTGGTCAGCTTACCAGGGTCCACACTGTTAGAAAAAATTAACTCTCCTTTTCTAAACAGCTACTAACTGTCAATAACCTTTAGGCCCAATTCCCCTCCCTAAAGTGGGATCTGATCTGTCTCAGGCTTGTACAAGTCATGTGTATTTCTGTCACCACCACAGTAAGTTCATATGTACAGCTGCCTTGCTGTTTTTTTTTTTTAATCATCTATTTGAACTTCAGACATGGACTTCACAGGAAACAAAGCTTAAAATGCTACATTTCTAAACCAATCCATGAAAGCCTAAACATCCATAAGATAACAGAAATACACAAAACGCCAAGCTCTGTGGGAAACAGTTCTATGGGAAAACCCATTTAGCATTCTAACACAGTACCAAACCAACTAACACTGCCCTATTAAGTTTTGGTAGTAAAAGGAAATCTTCCCTCACTAAGAAAATAGTCTGACCTTCCTTAAGAAGCAGAACAGGAGAAAGGGCATGAAAAAGACAAAAAAAAAAAAAAAAAAAGTCCGAGCTGGAGGCTGGGTTGGGGAGAGATCAGAGATGAAGAAGGTGAAACCTACTAGAGAGGAGAAAGACAGAAGTTGAGATGACAGCTGAAAGGAAGGACTGCAATGTATGAGAGTGGGGTGGGAAATGAAGAGGATGAGGGAACAGTGCAGCACACTGGCTTCTTCAAACTTAAGCTTCTTGACTCTTAAGGAGAAGGGAAAAGAGAAATCATAGCAAGAGTCTAGACACTGCCTCCCTCACTCTGTTGTTCTCATTCTCCTCTTAAAGACACAATCTGGTGGACTATGGGGTCTTAACTGCATTCCTCTTGATGTGCTATGGAAAAGAATTCACACCAGGGGGATGGACAGAAAGAAAGGCTTTGAAGTCCTCTTCATTCTTCATGTACCTTGCAAAAGACTCCACGGTCAACAGAGAACTAAAGGGATGATCCAGGCAAGGGCAGGACCAGCGTCAAGAGAGGAAGGAATATAAGCTGAATGATTTTAAGCAAAAAGAAAAGTGAAGTTTTGGAGAATTGGATTGTAAACCAATAGAGCTCTCAATTAATTAAGCAAGAGAAATGCTCTTAAATATTTAGGATTCAGTTTGACAGTTCCAGGTATCTCATCTAATTTACTTTTAGACAAACAAATATTTATGGCTATGCTATTACTATGGGGTTATTCCAAAGATATGAAATTAAACTAGATGCATACAATTTCCTGGTGTAAATTTTTTTATATAATGATAACATAAATCATGTCAGAACAGCTTTCTGTTTACTTGGTAGGTTTTATTATCTATCAATATTTTCCACTCTAATAAGCCAAATATCAGGAGTAATTCCCTTCCCAAGTAAAGTATATTTAACTCTTTCTTGAGAGTACAACTATAATTAAAAACTTGCTCCTTCAGCCCAAAGATTATCCATCAAGATTACGAGGTGTTATTTAAAACAGCCTCACATTCAACAGAACACATACCCAGATATATACTGAGTAACACAGAAATCCTTTTATCATATCCATGAGGCAGGTGGCTCTCCACTGAAGATTTCTAAAACAATTTGTGTCTTTAAAAATGGGGTAGCAAATCCTGAACTGCAGAATACTTTGAGAATTTCCAGTCAAAGATAACTAACTACATTGTTAACTCTGACCAAATGGCCTGCTGGAGGATGAGCACCACTTAGGTGTCATCTTCCTCCCCACCCCACCCCACCCCCCAACTTGTCTGGCTGTTCTTCCAGTTGAACTCTAACCAGATGCTGGGCCTCTCTATTGAACAGAGATAAGAGCGAGGACGAAAAGCACAACAGCACAACAGAGATCTAGCAGCCCAGACCAGCAGGAGCCAAAAGTAATGGCTTCACCATCCTGACACCTCTGCAAAATGTCCCATGCTTTCACAGCTCAGACTGTCCACCCCTAGGTCAATTAAGAAATGATGTTGCTTATCTTAATATTGGCCCTATTTTCTGAAAAACACACTCTAACTCTAAAACTCTGAGACTATGTGAAAAAGAAGAAGAGCAAAATTGCCTAGCAAGTACTGTACTGAGATCTAAGAAGGTAACTGTGTGTGTATGTTACCACAAAACTCCTGTAAAGCAAATTGAGGTCCCTATAAATAGTTCCTATTTTACATTAGTATGGCTTTAGTATGGCAATTTTAATTTTGATTCAAGATCACAGTAAATAAAATATTTACTCTTTGAAGTATCCTGCACGTATGATGAAACAGAAGGTAAAGTTACCAAAACCATGAATTTAAGGCATAGGTCACTGCTAGGTATTTGGAATCTTTGAGAATTAGCTCAACCCATACCTCTGTCTAGAAAATGTATACATCTCAAGGGAAAAAAAATACCTGGGATTATCTTTTGTTAAGGACACATGACAATCTTCAACAGAATTTAACAGTTTCTTTACAACAAACATTTCCATTTTCAATCTAGAGAACACAGTCTCTACAATCAGATAGATACACATGAATCTGAGTTCTAGCTTTGTAGTTTAGTCACTATATAATCTCAGCTATGTCAGCTACAGAAGAATACTGGAGGTGTATGCTGTTATCTGTGTAACAGGCACATTTTCTTTAGTACAGAGATAAACTATAAGATTTATATTAAAATGCACATGGCCCACCAAGTCCAGTGACTATATATACTCAATGTTAGCTCAATTTGCTCCAACACAAACTCTACAGGGTGGTCTACAATTAAAGAAAAGAATGTGTCAAATAAACAGAAGAAAATTCAGGGTGATTGAACAATCATTATGCTGTGTCAGATGTAACCACGGTAATTGTATATTTAATATCTACCTTCACTAAAATCAACTATGCCTTGATGAAGCCAGTTCTAGGCCAAAAGGGAAAGAGACTTCTAAATTTGCAAAAACAGATATAAGAAAGTGATTTAAAATTATGTATGTGTAGAATGTAAGGAGTACTTGTATTTTCACAGCGTCCATGGGGGGGGGGTGTGCACCATAAGAGTTGATGTAGTTTGTAATTGAACATTATGTCATTAAACTTCCATTTAAAAAGAAACCTTCTTGATCATGTTTTCTTTTTATGCATGCTCTTTTATAGTTCTACAAATCATTCTTAAAGCAAAAAAGGAAACTTTCTTCCCCCTCCACACGCAGTAGTACACAGCAAGCTCAGTTCATCAAGCTGTTCTTTTATACTGCTCATTCCTTTCCCTTTGGTAAAAACTGACGAATGTTACAGGAGAACACCACTGAATAGCTCTGCCTTGAACTAATGTCAGGACCTTTTCTCAGAAGAAAAAAAAAAAATCAAAATGTTCTGTTTCAGTTCTGGTTCTTCTAGTGTGCAGCTTACTTTCTACTTCACCTTGTCTGTATCTCACCTCCGCCCATTCTACTTAATCCATGTTAGAACCAGATACAGGGTATTAAACTATAAAACTAGGGACAACTCTAATCTGTTGTTGGACCTCAGAGGGCTCTTTAATGTCATCTTTAAAAGAAGGCGATGCCTTCCCTTTCCTCAATACTTGCCACGGATCATTTGCAAAGCTCCTCCACAACAAGCATTATTATTACTAACCTTGTGCACATGTCCCAACACCTTCAAGAGAACCAGCCTTAGTTCTGCGAGCCCAAGTCCCCAAACACCTTACTAAGACTTGAAACCTGTACACAGATGTTCACTCAGTATGATGTCTAGGAACCCAACAGGAAGGGCATCATCCCCCTCTTCACCCGAGGGCTGATGGCAATCAAGCCCCCCCACCTGCAGCCACTCCCTCTCCCCTTGGCCTCGGGGCGTTTGGGGCGTCCGGGCGGGTTCAGCCAACACGACAGGCCCTGCGCAGCCCTCCCGCAGCTCCGTATTTCCCCGTGCGTGCTAATAGCTCGAGGCCGAGTCAAGATCCCCGAACACCTGCAGTCTCGCACACGCCCAACGCCGTGGGCGCGGGGTCACTAGGACGACCCCAGGGCACCCCCAAAGTCCTGGCCTCGGGCAGGTGCCGGGCCTCTCGTCACCACTCACCGAGCCGCAGCAGTCGCTCTAAGCTCCACCGCCTGGTCCGCACACCACTGGCGAACTCCCAAGGTGGGGGTCCAGGCGGCCACTGCTTCCCCGGCCGACCACCCTTCCGTGCGCGCCGTGCCGAGGGCAGATCCGGTGTGAGCCGCCGCTGCCACCGCCCCCTTGCCTCCCTCCTCCCTCGCGGCGTCCCTCCCACTGAGGCCCGCCTCGTATTTCCTGGATCCGGTCTCCCGGAGAGCTTGGCAGAAGGGCTGCCGGCTTCAGGGCTTCCGTCGGGCGCCGTCGCTCGCCAGACACAAAGATGGCACCGCTGAGGCCGGCCGTGAGCGATCTCGCGAGACTTTCCCCACAGGAACCAGAGGGCGGGGTCCCCCCCCCCCAGGAAAGGTGATAAATGAGCCCTAGCAAAAGCTCTCCCACGTCGGAAATGGGCCGTACGTGGGAGATTTACTGCGCCTGCGCGAGATCGTGGGGCTGCCGCTCCCCAAAACTGCCCCCTAAGTGAGATCAGGGCTCAGAGGTTTGTTTACCTGTTTCTCTAGAGGGCAGAGTAACTGGGAGTGAAACCCGGTAAAAGGCTTGGCACAATCAGGTGCCAAAGTAAGATCCGTCTCTTAAGGCTTGACATCCCACCTAAGCTCCCAAGGTTAAAACACACAGACCTCCCGGAGGTCCCCCTGCCCTTTGCTCCTCCCTTCTCCGCTGTGCCAGTGTTCTTTAGAAAGCCTCAGAGGCGCCTTCATTCTGTTGGTTCCCATTACTATGTGCTTTACAGGTAACAACTGTTGTCAGCTTTTTCACACAAATAACTGCTTTTCTAGTTTTATTTTTTCTCGTCATTCATTTAGTCAGATAAGTATTGTTCGATTTTACATACACCCGCTACTGATATAACAAAATGCTCTGACCACAAAAAAAAAAAAAAAAAAGTCTGAGATGGAAGATGGGGGAAAGTTTTGTGTTCTAAATAAGCAGAGGTAGGATTCATACATATAGAGAGGTGTCATATCTCCTCGAAGAAGAAAAAGAACTACAAATAAAGATTCCATATGACCTAGATACAGCCCTCTAGGCATGCCAAAGACATACTTGCACATTAACATTTATTGTACTACTACTATTCACAACAATCAAGATGTGAAATCAACTAAGATCTCCATCAACAGATGAGTGGATAAAAATGTGGCATGTAGAAATGTGGAATTTTATTCTGTTACGAGGGAAATGCAATTAATTTTCAGAAAAATGGATGAAACTGAAGACCATGTTAATTGAAATAAGCAATTCAGAAAGAAGATAGGATGCATTTTTCTCCTCTATGAAGATCTAGATTTTAAAGGGTTATGTGTGTATATTGTACATAATATGAAAATAGAAGAGGAACTATATGGGGTGAAGGGAGGGTTTAATTCTAAAGGGGACAGGACATGGAAGATAATTGTAAGGAAAAAGAAAGACAAATATTACATGTTCTCATATATAGAACCTAAATTTAAGTATATGTGTGTGAGTTTATAATGTGTGTATAATAGATATGTGTATATATATACATATATATGACATTGACAATAGAAAGACTGTGAGAAAGGGGTCTAAAGCAATCATGAGTGAGAAGATAATTGTAAAGAAAAATTAAAGACAAATATAATGATTTCTATCTCATATACAGAACTTAATTATATATACATATATCTGTACATGTATATGTATGTGTGTGTATATGACATGAAAACTATTGGTTTGGAAGGAGACCAACAGAAGCAAGGAGAGAGAACAAGGGATGGTGGTGGATGTCAGATGTCAACAAGGAACATTTATATCTGTGAACAAAATATTAAAGTTCCACTATTTGATGCTCACTAAAAATTAATAAAGTGATAAGAAAATATCACATGCAGGAAATTCTTCAGGGTCATTCCACAGAAGTTAGTTCAGGGAAATAGTTGGGGTGATGTCAAGAAACAAACCATCTTGGTTGCTCCAACAAAAGTTTCAATATTAAAAGTTGAAAAGGCAATGGAACTCAGTGTTCCGCACAGGTAGTATGATGATTAATCTTGATTTCTATCTTGACAAGACTTAGAATTACCTAACAAACAAATCTCTAAGCACATCTGTGAGTGGAATATTCCAAAGCAGTTTAACTGAAGAGGGAAGAGTCACCCTGAGTGTAGATGGCACCATTCCATGGAGAGGGCACCCAGACAGAATAAAAAGTAGAAAATGACTGATCAAATGAAGAAATCAACTGACTATGGGGTGACAATCCATAATTAATACATTTACAACACATCCCCTACTCTTAAGGCTCAGGAAACATCAACATGCAGGAAGAAGGGGTGAAAATATTGTAAGAGCCAGAGGATCGGGATATTTGTTGGAAGGGCATCTGTTGGAAAATAGTCTGTTCTTAAATGAAAAAAAAAAAAAAACAGAAATGGGGAGGGGTATGGAGAAGGGTCAATCTGGGAGGAATGTTGAGGAGGAGTAAGAGATGGTGAATATGATCAAGATACATTGTGTGAAATACTCAAAGAATTAATAAAAATATATTATTAAAACATTCCAAGTAGAAAGCAAGCTAAGAATTAGCATTTATCTCTCTCTGCTTCCTGTCTGTGGATGTAACATGACTAGCTACCTCACACTCATACTCCTGTAACTAAATCTTTTCTTGACACCATGCCTTCCTAATGGTGATTGACTGTGCACTGAAACTGTGAGCTACAGCAAACCCTTGCTACTTTAAGTTGCTTTTGTCAAATTATGCTGTCGCAATTACAAGAAAACTGCCTAATATGGGTAGGAACTGCAGGAAGTGGCTATAATGTATAGAGTGAATGGGAAGAAAGGGCAAAGGGAATTGTCCAGTTTAGACATTTAGAAAAGGGCTTCTAGAAGCACAACTCAAGCTTTTGAGAGGAGGACAGCTTTTCCTGGTGATGCAGCCTGGGAGGAAATATCTAACCCTGGAGTTGCATGTTCTAGAATCTACAAACTAGATCCAACTGCTGCTAGGGAAAGAAACTACCACTCTTCTTCTAAGATCTTCCCAGTTCCCTTCAGTCAGGTGAAAACAAGGTGTGAACTACAGCTGACCTTGATCAGTATCTTCCAACATCAAGAGCCACTTGTTTTGGAAGCTATATGTGTTCAGAACAGGAAGGAGTCATGAAGCTTTATCATATACTGCACATAGTGAAGGCTGCCATGCTAAATACATTTGTAGATACCCTGCTTCGAGACTTGAGTTTCATGACGACTTACAAATCTATGAGTGAGAAATAAATGTTTGCATCTGTATGGTACTAGGAATTTTGCTTGTTATGTACATATCAAAGGTGTAATAATATAGCAGCTCCGCTCCATTGTAAACTAAGGTGGGCCTCCCTCTGTCTTCTTGCTCTGCCTTCCCTACAGTGTTATCAAGAGTAGCTCAGGACTATATTACAGTTTAGTCATCAGGGTTGTGAAAACTACTCATTTCTGTTAAAAACATGACCTAGAAGTTGTGGACACCATTTACATTCACAACTCAAAATTTAATCATATGGCTACAACTAGCTGCAAGAGGCAAGGGGGATAAAATCTAAGTACCTAGCTAAAACTTCTGTGATGTCAGAAAAGAGGTTTGACGGGGGTAGGGAGAAATAGCCATCTACTACCTAAAGTAATCAATACAGACCTTGATTTAAAGTTGTATCTTGGAACTAGAGAGATTTTTGAGACAAAACAGTTTTTGAGAGCATATATTGCTTTTGCAGAGCTGAGAAGATCAAAGTTTAATTCCCAGCTTCCGCATCAGGTATTACAGAATCACCTATGATTTTAGCTCCAGGAGATCTAATATCCTCTTCTGGCCTCCAAGGACACCCCACATGCATAACATATATTCACACACACACACACACACACCACTTCGAAGAAAAACATAAATCTTTAAAGTTGTATCTTACCCACTTTCCCAGTGGGATCTTGCCACCAATGAGAAGCATGAAAACCCTTTCTTTCTTTCTTTCTTTCTGTCCCTTGTGATTCTATTTCATTCCCTACTCCACCCAATCTTGTTAATTTTAGCTGCTTCTTCAGGAGCAAAGAAGATGAGAATGGGATTAGCCAAGTTATCACTTCACTGTACTGTCTTAAGATGGCCTTGTCCTCTGGACATGGAAGATCCTTAAAACTTCTACATTCTTTCTGATCTATTTGTTTTTATTTCTTGGTAGCCTTTTACTTGGAAGCTTCATTGCCACATCCCAGGACACAAGTGGTACTTTTTCTCTGCCAGGCCCTCTCTTCTCAGCTTCTAGTATTCTTGACTTTTCACTGTTGCTAGAAGTCCTCTCTTAATTGGCACTGCTTTGTATATAACCTTAATGCAAATGCTGCTGCTCTCACTGACAAGCATAGCTTTTCAGGACCCTTTCTTAGATATGAACTGACTCGGTCCTCTAATTCTGACTCTGTCCCCATTTCCTCTAGAATACCCATAGCTTCCTACTGTCAGGAACCCCTTAGCCATTAATAGGTCCTAAAGCAGGACACGAGCAAAAGCCTCAAGATTTTTATATTTTTCTTTCTGAAGCACACATCTGATCCATGAGAAATTGATACATCCTTGTTATGCTGACCGACAAATAGGTTGCCCTGTTGTTGTCCCATTAAGATTCCTACCTTCACGAGTCTCATGATGCAAGCAGCTGTGTCTATATTGATTCAGGCCTCCAAATTCCAAAGACATGTGGCAAGGTCTTCCTAAAGATCATCAGGTATGACCTGCAGATATCTATAGTTCAGTAACGAAGCAGCTGGTGGGTGATACATCTTGAAGACAGCTCTAATTCAGCTCAGAGGCCACCTCGTGTGGCCTTCCCTTCCCCACAAAGGGAGAAAATCTGTAACAGTCCTTCAAATGTGATCTTTAACAAATATTTCCCTTATAGCCTTCTCTTATTTAGGCTGGAGGAAGTGTATGAGTGATAGTCATACAACCGGTTTAGCCACCTCTCCCTGAGTCCTGTGAAAAAGAGCCTAGAA